ATTTGGTATTTGTAATTAATTTTATAATAAATTTTTATATTAAATTTATATTTTTTTAATAAATTTTGAGTATAAATATTATATTATATTTTAATTTGACATTTTATATTTTATTTTAATTAAACTTAATATAAAAATTTATGCTAAATTAATTATAACTACTATGTTTAATGAGACTTCACAAGTTAGAAAATTTTAAAAACAAATCTTTTATGAGCATTTAATAGTTTCCTATATATAGTTTGATATGTCTTCCATTTTCTATTTAATAGATATTTCAAGGATAATTAATGTTGGATAATTACGTTTTGATTCTTTTAGTCATTATCAATGTAACATTTGCTTTCCATTTGGCGCTTTCATTACTTCCCTCCACCATCCAACTACATACCCATACCTTTCTCTTCCCCAATCCAAAAACGTCTCTCTTTTTTTTTTTTTATTCATAAAAACGTCTCCCTATTAATAATTCATCACCTGCTCCGTTCCTGCAGATTCTTCAAATCCTCTATCTCTTCTCGTAACAATTGCAACAACCATGATTCAGAGAACTTCAGCCTTACGCAGTCTGCTTGGACCTTTACGGGTTCCTTCCCTTTCATCCAAGGTTGGATCATTGCGCTTCTTTACGATATCTAATTCCACATATAGAAATTCATCATTAATCATGCTATCCTTCACCAATTCCTGGTTTTTGGAAGTCCGGTAAGATATAATTTTTTCTATTTTGTGCATATTATTGGTAGATTTCGGAGTACAATTGGTACACATCTCAGGCTGCATCATCTCTACAAGAAGTGATCATACCATGTGCTTCCAGGTAACGACTCCCGGTTCTTCAAATCATTTTGTGTAGTCCTCAATTTCCCTGATTTTGTCAAGGAATTAACCTGCACCCTGTTGAAGACACGTGAACACGTGCGGATATAATGTTGATCTTATCCATGTCTCTTGTTGTAATGTAATATATAATATGGATATGGGTCCTATGTTATGGGATGCAGTTTGTCTGGAGATGATGAATATGCTGACGTGGATTGGGATAATTTGGGATTTGGTCTGACCCGGGCAGATTACATGTTTATCATGAAATGTTTCAAGGATGAAAGTTTCCAGAAAGGACAGATCAGTCCATATGGGAACATTGAGTTGAACCCTTCTGCAGGAGTCCTGAATTATGGACAGGCAAGTTGGAATTTTAATTTGGATATGGTTTGTCTAAAAACCTTGAAACAACTTTGAGTTTTGGCCTATTGACTAGGGTAATTTTGCTCCTCCTGATCCAGGGATTGTTTGAAGGCACAAAAGCTCAAAGAACAGAGGATGGAAGGATTCTTCTCTTCCGTCCAGAACAAAATGCAATGAGAATGAAGCGTGGCGCGGAAAGAATGTGCATGCCATCTCCTTCCATTGACCAGTTTGTTAACGCTGTGAAAGAAACTACTTTGGCAAATAAACCCTGGGTAATTTTCTTTCTTCTTTCAAGACTTTCCTGGAAAGTGGGATGTTAAGTGTCTGTTTCTCCAAGCAGTTTAGAAATTGATTTTGTGGTTGTGAGCAGGTTCCTCCCCCAGGAAAAGGGTCACTCTATATTAGGCCCCTGCTTATTGGGAGTGGTCCTATTTTGGGTTTAGGCCCTGCCCCTGAATATACGTTCCTTATATATGCTTCCCCCGTCGGCAACTATTTTAAGGTAGAGTTTTATTTAGATTCAATGTATTTTTGTAATTCATTTCAGTAAATATGGGTTACATTTATCCCGGATTCAATTTCAGGAGGGTACTGCACCATTGAACTTATATATTGAGGAAGAAGTTGTCCGCGCCTCACCTGGAGGAGCTGGAGGAGTAAAATCAATCACTAACTATGCTCCAGTAAGCAAACTATGCCGAAGAGTTGTTAGGCCATGAGGACTTCGATCCCAAGTTGTTTCAATTAATCAATCTACTCTCTTTTTTTGTATCTTAGATGTGTTTTGGGTATTTGTCACAGGTTCTGAAAGCAATAACCAAAGCCAAAGGCAGGGGATTTTCTGATGTTCTGTACCTTGATGCTGTGAATAAGAAATATATTGAGGAAGTCTCTTCATGTAACATTTTCGTCATAAAGGTATAGTTTTTGTCTGACATATAGTATCTTAATTACCACGGTAATTAGCAAAAAAACTGCCCAATATATTATGTATGTACCTTCAATCACTTTCAGGGAAATCTTATTTCAACTCCAGCTACTAATGGGACCGTTCTCGATGGGATAACCCAAAAAAGCATCATCGAAATTGCCAGGGATCATGGTTACCAAGTAATTATTTCACTCTCATGAACTTTAATCCCTTCAAATATTGGGATAACACATGAAGGGTGTAGAAATAAGGCCCTCATAAACTTTGCAAAATGGTCACAGGTGGAGGAACGGCGGATTCCGGTGGATGAACTGATTGATGCCGATGAAGCTTTCTGTACCGGAACTGCTGTTGGAGTTGCACCAGTTGGCAGTATTACATATCAGAATAAGAGGTTAACATTTAGCACCAACGTCCACATATGACATAACTCATAACATATACATTAGTTGCCTGTTTGGATTTAGAATATTTGACAATATTTTCTGACACATGAAACTTACGCATTTTGCAGAATTGAATTCAAAAGGGAAGGTCAGTTGGTATGGCAAGAACTGTATTCTACTCTTGTGGGAATTCAAACAGGTCGTATTGAGGATAAAAAAGGTTGGACCATGGAGATCAATTAACATGTATGTTTGTACAGGTGTTCTGGATTCTGATCCCATTTTATGATTTATGAGTCAACTGCCTGTAAATTTTAATCAGTAATCCCATTTCCCATCCTGGTAAACTGGAATTGAAATTAGTGGGGGAGGAAAATAAAAGATTGCGTTCTGTAATTAATGGGAAGTAATTGTTGCATATTCCTGTTGTAAACCCAAGTGGGGAGCAAATCAGTGTTGTATTTATATGATTGGTGTTTCAATCCAAGTCTTTGTGCTGAATCTATAGAATAGTAGGGAGCAATTCTGGCTGTTTTAAGATTGGATATACTAAGCTTTTGGGTTGGTGAACTATAAAAAGTTCCTTTGTACTGCCTAAATAAAATTATTTCTTTTGGCTGATTGAAAAAAAAAAAAACCTGTAGTGCAGAAAGCCAGAAAGGCCTCTAACATGGTTGATTGCAAGCCCAATAACAGACGATGTTTTTGGGCCTTATATAGCCTTTTTGGTTATGAGCCTAAACCACTTTGTCCTTAGAGTAACAGGTTAGGCGAAGATGGAAGGACAGGTTGACTTTTATTTCCCTTTTTTTTTTTTTTTTGTCTGTTACAGTTTGTTTGATTTACGTGCAGCCGGGTAAACTTCCTTATTTAGAAAATTAAAATTAAAGAAAAATGAAGGGGATGTTGAAGCTTCCGTTTCATTTGCTTTATAATTTTATTATAACTATAGGAAGTGAAGGGTTCTGCTTTCTTTCTTATTTTTTCAGAGATATTATAAATCAACTTTCATATATTATGTTATGATCACTTCAGTTGGGTAAGAATAGGACATAAATTATCTTTTTATTAATATTTTAAAAATTAACTAGAGGTTAAAAAATTTATTAAGAATGGCAGATATTTGGTTAATTAATAAGTTGAAAAGCAGAACGCATTACCAACTAATCTATGACATTTACCAATTTAACTTTTGAATTTTTTAATTTGTACTTTTATACATAAATTAAGAATGTAATAAATATATTAAAAAATAAAAATTAATTTTTAATTATCAAAAATCAACTAAATTTATTCACATACAATAATATTAAAATTAAAATTAACTTTTATTTTTTTATTAAAATTTATGATGAAAAATGTCCTTACCCAGAAAAGAGCCTTCTATTACCATGGAACTGCTAGTTCTTCATCAAATTAATTCTTCTCATTGGTGTCCTCCTAATAGGCTAATACCTTGGAACTGAAATTTAATACTGTTGCTACTTTTTCTCCTACCAGTCAAAAGGCAGCTGTGGCTGTGGTATGTAGAGATAGCAAAGGGTCATTGTTGGCAGGACATGCTTTCAAACAGGCTGTTTCTTCAGTGTTAATGGCAGAGGCTTTAGCCTTACGTGCAGCTGTAGGCATGGCTGTTCCTCAAAATGTTACCAGAGCTATATTTGAATTAGACAATAAACTCCTCATCCAAATTGTCAACAAAGAGAGACAAAGTTCTATGGCAGATAGACCCTTTGATTAAATCTATTTGGCAACTTATGGATAACTTTGAGGCTTGTAGTTTTGTGTATATACTTAGAGAAACTAATAAGGTGGCAGATTGGATAGCAAAGCACAAGGTAAACTATCAGTGTCCATTGTATTGGGCTCATTGTCCGCCAACTAATTTTCAACTTTTGTTAACACAGGATGTAAATGCATCTTAATATAATGAAATTTCTTCTTCAGCTCTAAAAAAAAAGACAAAAAAAAAAAAAAA